GATGATGAGGAGGTTGATCGCACTTGGCAGCCTCGTCGTCATCAGGCTATTGCTTCCGCGCATCATAGGAGAAGAGGGTGGCAGCTTGGCAGCGAGGCGAAACAGTCGGTGGGTTTGCCCAAGGAGGGCAAGCAGGGGTCGCAGCAGTGTCAGTGGAGCCAAAGACGGCCACGGAGAGTAGAGCACGCAGCTCCACTGCAGCCTACCACCACGGCCAAGTAGTGGTGCCGGTGTGCACGGAGAGAGCATCAGCAGTGTAGGGGAGTAAATCGGGGCAAAGTTTCTACCTCGGCGGGCGTTTTGTGGCAATTTTTTCGTCAAGCCGCCCCCCGAGGAAGTAAACGTAGCCGTATGTCGACTATGTGGCCATAAAGTCAAGCGTGGCCAGGGGGCCCATGTTGGGACTACAGCGTTGCGGCAGCATATGCAGCGTCGCCATTTGGTGGCCTGGGAAAACCGTGATAAAGAATACGGCGGTTCTGCCCGCCGCCCCAAGCCCCCGCACTCCATCACCCGCTCCGTTACTTGCTCCGTCACCCGAACGTCAATCGCCCACCGCATCACAGCCAGTCAAGGCTCCAACAACCTCTGCTGAGGGTAGTTGTCGCTCGTTGGGCAGCTTCCCTCCGCTCGTCAGATGCTCCTTCTCCTGCTACTCCTCTTCACGGATTCCGTCAGCAGCAGTCTTTCTTGGAATCCGTTTCCAAGAGACAACAGTTTGCGGAGCACGCACTCCGACGGTTGCAAAAGCTTGAACGTCCTCCTGTCCATGTTGCTGGTGCTGCAGTCCCTCCCTTTCCAAGTGGTGGACTCAGCACCTTTTCCGAGAAAATTGATGGCTTGTGCCGCGCCGCGGTGGAGAGTGCAAAGCCATCATTTCTTCGCCAAAAAGGCAGTGCCAGCCCTGCATTCACATGTAGGAAGACATGGTGGGCCAGTCTATTGAGCATGTCGGTCTCTGCCAAAGTGCCACGGCAGCGCCGACGTGTGGAGCTGTAACTGCACGAGTCAGGGACAGTACCATGTCCATTTACATTTCGGCCCACTGGGTGAACGTGGTGCCGTCACAGCCGCACCAGCAACTTGGACAAGGTCACGCCACTTTTGCCTTCCACGTTTTGCAAGTCCTTGGTCCACAAAAGATGTCCGCCTCTACCACCTCTTCTTCTGCTGTGTTCCTCAGCCGCTACCCCCTTGCCAAGTCCCATTAAACCCGACCGGCATTATCACATGTGCAGGGCGCAACGGTGTCACGTCTGTTCTGCACCTTGGTATGCCTTGGCGAACGAAGTCACACAGGGGAGGAACTTCTCAGTGTAATGAACAGAGAAATCGACAGATGGCTTTCTCCGCGCAAACTGAAAAATCGGAACCATGTGTTGACCGACAACGGAAAGAACATGGTGTCTGCTCCTGCGTCAAGGAAGGTTGTGCCATGCGCCATGAATGGCTCACGTTGTTCATTCGGGTTGTCAAGCGGTTCCTAAAATCCCACCATCCACTGCAAGACATCCTTAAAAATGTCACGTAAACTTTGCATGCATTTCAGCCATTCCGACACCGCAAAGCACACCCTCATTGAGCTGCAGCGGCAGGAAACGGAATTCCACATCATCGCCTGGATCTGCGACGTTGCAACAAGGAGGAAATTTTCAACCCTACACATGTTAGACCCCGTCCTTTACGGCAGCGAAAGGCCATCACCGATTCCTGATGGTTTACAAGCGGATAAAGGTACTCCCCCTGTGTAACTTCGATGTCAGCATTGTACAGCTCATGCGTGACACTTGGAGCCGCTTAGCTCACGGCCGCTTTGAGGAGGCCACGCTATTCGTGCGTCGGCAGGACTATGGGATGAACGACGTCATTCCTCTGTTGCACGTCCTTGAACAATGCTTGTTAACACTGGCTGGTCAGGGTGCGGTAGACGTGGCGCACAGATCTCAACGCCACATGACCCCTGTGGGGGCAGGACAGGACGAAGAGGAGGAGGTAGAGGAGGACATTTGTGCTCAGGAATTATTGGAGTGAAATGGGTGGTTTTTTCCACTCAGCGGGACAGGAGTGGAGGAAAGCAGGAGCAGCATCTGGTAGAGAGGAGGAGGAGGAGGAGACAGAGGACCCAGACGCACCGTGGCAGTGTATTTTGCTGTGGAGAGATGGAGGCAGGGATATAGTCCCTCGCATTTCTTGGCACAAATGGCCCATAGCATGCTGCGCTTGCTTGCGTAGCGACAGGTGGGTCGTTGAATAATAAAACCATCAGACAGAGGGATGACTTTTGGCTGTCCACCTTGTTGGACCCTCGCTACCGTTCAAAAATGGTGGGGCCTTTTTCACACCTGCCTGGAGAGGGAGGCCAAAATAACGTACTAAAAAACCACCTGTGTTACGTCAGTTGGTCTCTGCCTTTTGTGCGCCAACGTCCATCCTCAGACACTGTGGGCCTGTGCGCTCGCGTTACGCGGCCATGGCCTGCAGGGGAGGTCGGTGGGTTTGGTTGGAGCTAGTGGCAGCTCCACCTGCAGCAGAGGCTGCCTCAGTCTTGCAGTCGATGATGAGTTGCTTTCTTCACCAGCGCAGTGAGGATACACACTACTAACCAGCCGCAGCTAGCAGCAGCAGCAGGCATCAGGTGGACCTGGAGCAGACCGCAAACAACAGCTTAGGCCCTACTTGGACAGCACCCTGCCATCCGAGGTAGACTTCATCCCTTGACTAATGGGCAACGAAACCTTGACCTTTGGCCCCCAACTGACTAAGCTTTTTGCCCTGAAAGGCTGTTCATGCCCGGCCAGTACCGTGGCATCGGTTAGCGCGTGCGGTTTGTTTAGTGCGGCAGGAGGTATTTGTAACTCCGCGGAGGACACGATACCTGTCCACCCAAAGTGTGGGAGAGACTCACGTTTGTGAAATATGAATCAGGCGTGGATTAGTCTGGATTTCAAACACACCAGTTCTGGACACAAACTGACCAAATCCCGCCCAATGAATCATGCCTCAAAACATGGTGCCACTTTCAGGTCTCCTCACACATAACTGCTGGTGTGTTCCCATTTTTTGTCATAGGGGTGTGCTGGCAGATTACGGGCCGCCCCATAGCTGCTGCCAGGCCCCTAATCTGCCATAGGCCCTATACTACCTACCGCCTCCTCATGCTGCTGCCAGGTCCAGAGTCGTCATGGGTCCCTGTACGGCCTCCCATTGCTGCTGTCTCCATCGCCACATGCACTCTGCCATGTGCCACTTTCAGGGTCTCCTCACACTGGCTGGTGTGTTGAATTTTTTTGACCATAGGGTGCTGGCAGATTACGGGCCTCATGATAGCTGCTGCCAAGGCCCCTAATCTGCCATGGGCCCCTATATACCGCCTCCTCATGCTGCTGGCCAAGTAGTCCAGAGTCTGCCATGGGTCCCTGTAGCGTTTCCTCCCATTGCTGCTTTCTCCCATCGCCACACTCTGCCATGTGCCACATTCAGTCTCTTCACACTGGCGTGGTGTGTTGAATTTTTTTGACATAGGGTGCTGGCAGATTACGGGCTCCCATAGCTGCTAGCCAGGCCACCTAATCTGCCATATTACCGCCCCTATATACCATTTCTTTCCTACTCCTTGTCTCTCACTCTGCTATGCTTCGCCAGGGTCCAGAGTCTGTCATGGGTCCCTGTACGGCCTCACCATTGCTGCTGTCTCCATCACCACACTCTGCCCATGTGGCCACTTTCAGGTCTCCTCACACACTGCTGGTGTGTTGGAATATTTTTTGACATAGGGTGCTGGCAGATTTACGGGCCTCCCCATAGCTGCTGCCAGGCCCCTAATCGTGCCATGGGCCCCTATTACCGCCTCCTCATGCTGCTGCCAAGTCCAGAGTCTCTTCTGGGTCCCTGTACGGTCGTCCCATTGCTGCTGTCTCCATCGCCACACTCTGCCATGTGCCTACTTTCAGGTCTCCTCTCACACTGCTGGTGTGTTCAATTTTTTGACATTAGGGTGCTGGCAGATTACGGGCCTCCCATAGCTGCTGCCAGGCCCCTAATCTGCCATAGGCCCCTATATATACCGCCTCCTCATTTCCCCCCCCCCGGGGTGGGGGGGGGGGGGGGGGGGGGCCCCCCCACCCCCCCCCCCCCCCCCATGCTGCCAGGGTCCACAGTGTCTCATGCCATGTGCCACTTTCAGGTCTCCTCACACTGCTGGTGTGTTCAATTTTTTGTCATCAGGGTGCTGGGCAGATTACGGGCCTCCCATAGCTGCCTGCCAGGCCCCTAAAATATTGTTCTGCCATGGGCCCCTATACCGGCCTCCTCATGCTGCTCTGCCAAGTCCAGAGTCTCTCATGGGTCCCTGTACGGCGTCCCATTGCTGCTGTCTCCATCGCTACACTCTGCCATGTGCGCACTTCTCAGGTCTACTCACACAACTGCTGGTGGGTCAATTTTTTGAATAGGGTGCTGGCAAGATTACGGGCCTCCTATAGCTGCTGCCGGCCCCTAATCTGCCATAGGCCCCTATTATACCGCCTCCTCATGCTGCTGCCAGGTCCAGAGTTCTTGTCATGGGTCCCTGTACGGCCCTCCCATTGCTGCTGTCTCCTATCGCCACACTCTGCCATGTGCCACTTTTCCAGGTCTCCTCACACTGCTGGTGTGTTGGAAATTTTTTGGACATAGGGTGCTGGCAGATTACGGGCCTCCCATAGCTGCTGCCAGGCCCCTAATCCTGCCATGGGCCCTATACTACCGCATCCTCATGCTGCTGCTATGTCCAAGAGGTCTGTCATGGGAGTCCCTGTACGGCCTCGCCATTGCTGCTGTCTCCATCGCCACACTCTGCCATGTGCCACTTTCAGGTCTCCTCATACACTGCTGGGTGTGTTGAATTTTTTTGACATAGGGTGCTGGCAGATTACGGGCCTCCTATAGCTGCTGCCAGGCCCCTAATCTGCCATGGGCCCCTATACCGCCTCCTCATGCTGCTGCCAGGTCCAGAGTCTCTCATGGGTCCCTGTACGGCCTCCCATTGCTGCTGTCTCCATCGCCACACTCTGCCATGTGCCCGACTTTCAGGTCTCCTCACTACTGCGGTGGGTTCCATTTTGTGTCATAGGTGCTGACAGATTAACCGGGCCTCCCATTGCTGCTGCCAGGCCTGTAAGCTGCCATGGGCCTCCGTACCGCCTGGGGTCACGCTGCTGCTGCGGTCCCACAGTGTTGACATGGGGGCGTCCCTGTACCCGCCTCCCATTTGCTCCCACTCTGCCCATGTGCTACTTTGAGGTCTCCTCACACTCCTGCTGGTTTTTCCATTTTGTCATAGGTTGCTGTATGCCTCCCATTGCTGCTGCCTCCACGCCACCACTGTGGCTCCAAAACACTGGTTTTGGCCCCGTGACTGCCCAAATGTGGTGAAGTGTGCGGGTGATTCTAAGATTCGACGGCACTCATCTGCATGTCATACTGACTGACAGTATTATTTCTCTTCCCCAGGCAGACTCAAAGGGCATTTAAATTAAAGGTACAGTGTTCTGCACTAATATTAAGTCTCTCTCTGAAGCCTAGAAACACCTTTTTAAGTTAAATTCACAGCGATTCTATTATCGACTCGAACTCGAATATTTTCCACGAAATTCGCCAAATCAGTCGAATCGAATTTTTTGAATACTTATCGCTCATCTCTAATCACCATTGTATAAATAATATAGTGACATTGGTATGAGCGTTATTCACTTAAGGTCATCGCAGAGGACAAAAGGGCACTTTTTTACTTCTGGAGGAAAGAAGATTTACCTTCACACCTACAGAAAGGCCTTCTTCTGTAGGTGAAAGCTGTTGGAAAATGTGGAATAGACGCGCTCTCACAAGATCTGTTGGCCAAGCCCAGCCTCAGCTCGTCAGATTTAAAGAAATAAGGGTGGTTGTGATGTATAAAATCATTACTGTTCAGGTCGGACTGGCCTAAGGAACATACCTCTAATCAATAAGCACTGACAGATGTCATAATAAAGGTTTTGTTTTAGGCAATGGTGGGTTTGATGCTTGGGTTTAGCGCAGCTTGTTGGGGCTGTTGATCAGCTCAGTAGATTGATTTGAAAAAAAGAGCTGGGATGCATTCTAATGGCACAAAATATAAATGGATACTCATTTTTCAGAGGTAATAACGCTAGGGGGGGTAATTGGTCCAGGGAATATCCGATTGCCTCCTGGGGAATTTTTTTCCCCAACATTAGTGTGATGGTCACTTAGAAGAACACTTCTTACCTTAATGGCCATTGAGAAGACTCTCCTCCTTACAGATAGCTAAAAAGACAAGATAGTGTTTACTTATCCGAGAGGCTCACTGCTCAAGGAACCCCTAGAAATCCTAAAGGAACCCTGGTTAAGAAAGGCTGTCTTAGAAGTTAATGCAGCCCTTAAAGGTATACTAAAGGTTCACTTTTTTTTTAAGATAACAAACATATCATGTTTATTTGCTCTGTGCAATGGTTTTGGATCCTTCTCTTTTTGGTTCCCCCGTCTGATGCTCCTGGCCCCTCCTCTCTGCTGAATTCCCCCAGAGCAAGCTGTTTGCTCATGCGTGCTCACTCCTGAGCTGCCTCCATGTATCTAAGAGACACACAAAGCACAGTTCTGGTCCAGATGAGGGCGATTCTCCAAGACTTAGACTGGGAGGGAATATTGGCATCAAAGACTACAGAACAGAATTGGCAATCTTTCAAAATGACTACATGTGAACACAACACACTGTAATATATGTTCCAATGAACAATACATTTAAAAGGCTAGAAATATAACCTATGTGGCACACGACCATAATTCAAAAAGCTATAAATAATAAGGGAAGAGCTTTTAAAATATAAAAAAATTAAGGAACACTTTTATTTTTATTTAGGTGTTACAAAGAATATAACAATATGTAAAAAGGAAATCAAAGCCACAAAAATTCAAAATGAACTACAGATTGCAAAAGAAAGTAGAACACACCCCCAATATTCTTCATATATATTAATAGTAAAAAGGTCAGGTCTGGACATGTAGGCCCTTTGCAAAATAATCTGGAGTGGGTTTCTGGGGACAAAGAGAAGGCAAATGTATTAAATACCTTCTTCAGCCATTTGTATACAAAGCAAAATGGAGGAGCTCATGTCCATAATGGGGATGATATTGACATGGCCCCAAAGGAACCATTATGACTCAAAATTTATATGGTTCAGAAATATTTAGACAGAATAAATGTGTATAAATCACCTGGACCGGATGGCATACACCCACGGGTCATAAAAGGACTGAGCTCTGTCATTCAAAGCCATTATTTCAAATTTTTAGGGACTCTTTAATGGCTGGCATAGTACTGCTGGATTGCTGTAAGGCCAATATGGTGCCTATATTTAAAAAGGAAATTAAAGTCTTTACCAAGTAACTACAGATTAGTTAGTTTAGCTTCTATAGCTTCTTGGGAAGATATTGGAGAGTTCAATTAAAGACCACATACTGTAAATGAGTTTTTGCTAGGAAAAAAATATTTGAAACAATAGCCAGCATGGATTCATGAAAGACAGAAGATGTCAAACAAATCTGATTTCTTTTTATAAGGAGGTAAGCAAAATTTTAGACTGAGGAGTGTCTGTGGACATAGCATACTTGGATTTCGCAAAAGCATTTGACACAGTTTCCCACAGATGGCTAATATGTAAGGTAAAATCTACAGGCTTGGAAAAATCGGTATGTAAATAGAAAACTGGCTTAAAGACTGAATTCAGAGAATAGTGGTTAATGATTCATACTCTGAATGGTCTAGCGTTGTTAGTGGTGTACCCCAAGGTTCAGTGTTGGGACCCTTACTTTTTAACATATCTTTAATGATATAGGGTCTTGGATTAAAAGTAACATTTCAGCGTTTGCAGATGACACCAACCTATGCAGCGGAATAATGACCATATAGGATATCTATAACTTACAAGCTGACCTCAATGCACTATTTAATTAGGCAACTATGTGGCAAATGAGGTTTAATGCTGATAAATGTAAGGCTATGCACTTGGGGTCTAAGAATATATGCATCATACATACTACTGTGGGGGGGGGGGGGGGGGGGGGGGGGGGGGGTGGGTTAGTACAACTGGGAGAGTCAATGGTGGAGAAGCATCTCATTGTTCTGGTAGATTACAGGCTTAATAATAACATGTAATGCCAAGCTTCAGATTCTAAAGCTAGCAAAATCATTTCTTTTATTAAGAGAGGTATAGACCTCATGTACAGTAAAACCTCATTTAGAATATGCAGTTTAGTTTTGGGCACCACTTCACAAAAAGTATATTGAAGTACTGGAGAGAGTGCAACCAAAGTAATGAGGCATGAAAGAGCTCAACTATGAGGAAAGATTGGAGAAACTGAATTTATTCTCTTTTGAGATTAAGGGGGGATATGACTGACATGCATAAATACATAAGTGGTCAATGTAGTGAACTTGGTTTAGAGTTATTCTCTGTAAGGTCATCACAGATGACAAGGGGGCACTCTTTATGTATGGAGGAAAAGAGATTTAATCTCCAAATTCTGAAAAGGCTTCTTCAGGTAAGAGCTGTAAAAATGTGGAATAGACTCCCTCAAGACCTTGTTCTGGCCAGCTCAGTATATTGCTTGAAAAAAGGCCTGGATTCTTTCCTAGATTTATTATAAAATATATCTGGATACTAATATTTTTTTTGAAACAATTGACGTTTATTCAAAGAAGCATATCATAGAACATCAATGAATTACAAAACAGCTTTGCATGGTATGAAGTCATGTAGTACACGGTGACAAAAGATGGCTTCTGGAAAATTCAGTAGTACGATTAAATCAATGGTCTATATCAAGGGGGAAGGAGGAGGAGCCTGAACATGGCGGCGTGGGAGAGCGTGGAGTAAGCACTCTCCGATAACCCTCCCGCCTTACCCTCCTTAGTGACCCTGAAGCTGCAGAGTAGTTATGCCGGAGACCTACCTATGAGAATGGAAGGTCTTGGCAGAGAGGTGGATGCCTGGTGGGGAGAGGTGACGGTGGGATCCTGTGAGCGGGACGGCGGTCGGCTGGAAGGTCTGGATGGAGTGCTGGGTTCCCGGAGGACAGTGTGACGCGGCGATTACCATGTGATCAGCCGCAGAGCAGTGCTGGGAGGAGGAAAAGCCGGACAGAGTTTTCGAAGGGAGAGAGAGAGAGGTAGCAGTGAACTGCCGGCTAGACCTGCGGGTCCCTGTGGATGCTGAGGCTAAGGAAAAGAAGACCCGGTGGAGTCCCCCCATGTTCCCAAGAAGTGGACATGGTAAGACACATCTAGTCATTAGCCTGCCTTAACAGAAGATAGAAGAGGAAAAGGAAGAAGGTGAATGAAAGCGGACAGGCTGGACGGGATTGGGGTTGTTTGTTTGTTATTGGGAGCGGGGAGAAGTGGGGGGAGACTCCTTGGGGACTTGAATGTGCGGAAAGCAGAGAAAATAAAAAAAAAGGAAACAAGTGTTTTTTGAAGATTAGATCAGCGCTTAAACCAATCTAATTTAATTTAATCAAGTTTAACAAATTGAAGAAATAAGAAAAGCAAGTTATATTAGTGACATGAAGAACAAAACTATTAAGAGTAGTGGGCCGAAGGGATCCCAAGCAGGTACAATTAAGAAATACACCCCTCAAGGAAACGTGACCCCAGAGAGACTCCAGGGTGTAAGCGAAAGAAGTGAAATGGAAAGTAGTATGGAAAAAAAGTCCTAGAATGTCCCTAGGAATGGTGAATAGCAGCCAACAAAAGATAGAAAGAATGGAGGGGAGAGAAAAAAGAAGAACTACAAATGCTAAATAAAAAAGAAATAGCAGAAATGTTTAAAAATCTGGAAAAGTCAATAAAAGCAAGAGATGGGTATAATACAGAAAGATCTGGGGCAATTGCTATCTAAACTGGAGGAGACGGAGGAAAAAGTTAAAAAACCAAGCCCAGATCATCTCGAATTTGGAAAAAAATGGCCAATTGAAATGAGGAAAGAACAAAGAAAGCTGTTTTACAAATTGGAGGATAAAGAAAATAGGGATAGGATATGCAATTTAAGAATACTAAAGGAAACAACATGTACAATGTTAAATAATATAATGGAGAAACCGGCTTTAGAGACACTTAATTTAGATGCTGTATATAGAATAGGAAAATTTCAACCAGAAAGAAGTAAAGAAAAGCCGAGAGATACAATTGTAAAATTTCACAATTATGGGGACAAAGAAGAGATATGGAAGAAGATCAAAGGAAAAGCAAACATTAAGTATGGCAAAGTAGATATCCAGATTTTTTTAGATCTAGCAGCTGAGACTTTGCTGTGAAAGAGATTGTTAAAACCATTAATAGAACAGATGAAGAGACAAAAAAAAAATGTGTATTATTGATGGGGAACCCCGGCATGTCTAATCGGATGGAAAAAAATGGAATTACAGCAAAATTGAGATTTCCTGATGAGATCAGTGACTTTTGTGATGGACTTGATTTGCAGAGAGTAGCGCTACCTGGATGGGAAGAAGAAG